TGAGCCACATCCCCAACCCTCTTTATATTTTATTTAGAGCCAGGGTCTTGCTAAGTTGCTAGGGCCTCACTGAGTTGCTGTGACAGGCTCTGAACTCTCGATCTTCCTGCCTCAGCTCCTGAGCTGCTGGGATTACAGATGTGCACCACCACACCTGGCTGGGCATAGATATTTTTTAAAAGCACCTGTTAAAAGATGTCTTTTTTAAAAAGGTAAAATCTGACTCCCATACAAACATAAAATGAACACATGACAAAGAGTTGTTGAACTTGTTAATTAATGAGGAAACCAGTAAAATCTTACAACCCGTTGAAATAAACCACACACACACACATATAGGCAAGCTGGAATTCTGAAATCAATTTACAGATAGATCAGATCTGTCCATATCTACAGGATGATAACCAATAGCATTCCACTGTGCAAAACGCACTTGTATTCACTTGACTCAAGAATCACTTTGTCCATGTTAGAGCTTTGCAGAGTAGCTCAAAGATGGAATTGGATTCCTGGAGCAGTGTGTTAGGAAGGACGCTTGTTCTCTGCTTTTTTGTCCATTTCTGTCTTTCACGCTTTCCCAGGAACTCCAATATACAGTCAAGGGTGAGGACCCCGCCATATACCTTCCTGTGTGGCTCYTTCATCATGGTCATCATGCTAGGTTCAGGTTAATGTTGTAGCTATTTGGTTTATGAGTTGTCCCACCTTGATAGAGAATTCTTCAGGTACAGGGTTCACATTCCATTTAATTGTGTAGCTCAGTACCAAGCACACCACCTGGCCTACAATATGTGCTTAAAAACTGTCATACAAGAATTGAATTGAATTGAATTGAATGATCACTAGGAACTAAGTAGGACAAGCTGTATTATTCTCCACTTTCTGATGAAGAAACTGGTTCTGAAAAGCTCTGATCAGTTCGTACAATTAGATTGTGAAGTTGAGTCTTAAAGCCATTCATCCATTTCCCCATTCAAACTTAATTCATTCCCTAGTTCGTGTGTGCCTGCCAAGGGCCAGTCCTGGAGCCGTGAGCAAAAGTAACATCGAGGAGGGGAGGGAAGAATAGAAGTTCACTG